GCATGGCGAAGCGAACAAGAAATTGAATCAAACCACAATTGTAAGTTTGAGTCTCATCCACTAGCAAGGCTCATAAACGTTCTAGTACGTCTCTTGGTGACCCTGAGACCGACCATACGCTTTGACAATTGCTCCAACTTTCAGGTCTGTAAATACTTCCTCCAAGCTGTTGAGGAGAGCAAATACGGGTGGTTTTGGGAATGTCCCAATGGTGGAGAAAAGTGTCAATACAGGCATTGTCTTCCGGAAGGGTAGGATAACTTCTTAATTTCTTCATTACCGTACTTCTGCATAGTTCATCACTACTTAGAGTCGTTGGTAATTAGAATTCAGAATACTGATAATTTCAGATACGTACTGAAGAAGGATAGGAAGAAGATGGAGGAGCAAGATAAAGAGAATCGAATAAGTCTCGAAGAGCTGATTGAGAAAGAGGTGAAGCGTTCGCCTTTGTACTCGCTAGTCTATCGGTGTTCATCATTTGAGTGATTTTCCTGTACGGCATTCCCTGTATTGTTGTAGTTTTGCCGTATTTCTTAGATAGCATTGTTTGCCATTTGTGAAGGTCAGTTCCTAAATAGTACTGTGCCGCAATATTCATCGTAAGACTTTGTGAATTTTCAAGTAATTGCCTTTCAAGGGGCGCAGAAATGTTTGAGGCAGGTGGCTTTCTGAAACTCGAAACCCTTTTGAAAACCTTGTGATTCCAAGAAGGGCAGCGAATGGTTTTCGTTGTTGTTACTGTTGAGGTTCCTTTGCCTACTGCGCGTCGTCATCTCTCGCTTTCAGACATGTTTAGTATTATAGCAGTAGTATCCTTCCAACTCCTACTTGGGGATTTATGCAGTTGTCCCTTCGACCCTGACGAACGGTGAATTTTCAGAGAGCTGCTCTGTCGTCGAAAAATCTAACGAAGGTCACTCTCCAGTCTTTCGTTGCATGGAAGAAGAGGAAATTAAGAGAGAAGAAGCAGAAAGAAGCCGATGAAGAAAAGGCGAAGAAGGACAAGATCAAGGCCGGAAAGGCTGTGAGATTTTGGTTGTTTACTTGATTTTTGGGGTTTACGATTTTTTTTGCTTGTAGTTGGGTATGAGTGGTCGTGACTTGTTCACTTTCAATGCCGATGCTTGTGTTGATGATGAAGACGCCGAAGATGTGGAGTTCGAGAAGGAGGAGGTTGACGTGAGTTGTTGTATTCTTTTTATACTTCCTCTAGTGTTCTTCCAATTCAAGGTTCCTATATTGGACCTATTTAGCCCGATGAAAGAGTGTTCGAGATTGACAACAGTTTCTTCAAATTCGGAGGTATGGATGACGATTTGGATAACGATGGAGCGGCACCTGTGGAGGGTGTCGCTGGTGCCGATGGATTAGCTGCAGGTAGCCTTGTTGTGTTTCGTTTCTTTTCCTGCTCTAAGCGGTGATGGATGTCAATGTAACTATGGTACAAAAAGTTGAGCTTAGGGAGTAAGAGTGGTCCCGGTGGCGGAGAGCGCTCTCGCCCAGTGGGAGATGCGGGTTCGAGTCCCGTCGGGGCTTGACTTCGCCCTCAACTCACTTACAACTCTGACTTTTTGTGATAGCTTCCGAAGCAGGAGCTGCGGCGTTGAATAATAGTTATCATTCCAGAATAAGTTCAAAACCTTTTCAGTTGTATTTAATCTTGTTGTTGTGGATGCCATTCTGAGGCACTGAGGGGCTCTCCTTCTTGCTGAATTTTTATTTACTGACATTTCGGGCATAAGCCCCTCATCAGTGACCTGAATGGCTTATGCCCATAGATGCTATTGCTAAAGTTGCAACTAGACATTGTTTATTTACTTGATGCTCAGGTTGCGCTATGAAAGTAAAGACGAGAAAATCAAAAAAGAAACAAGGAGATATCAAAGCTAAATTTCAGGTGTTGGTTCTATAGCTATCAATGAGGAACTGTTTGACGTTGATGAAGGACTGGAAGGGCTAACGTCGGATGAGGACGAACCAGCCGCCTCGCAGCTTGTGAGCTGATAGCGTCCCATTTCACTGAGGGAGCGCTGCTAAAGCCTTCATGTCCTGTTTTATGAGAACACTTGTATTAATGGCATTGTTTTATGTACTCGTATTTCGATTACGAATTCTTCCAATCGCTACCTTAATCGATTACTGACGGTTGATGGTTAGCGGTCTTTCGGCTGTGGTTACTTGTTTTGACCTGGGTACTAGAGGTCGTTGCTAGAACACATCGCTGTTTGTTAGTAGTTATTTGTGAAATTTTCTGTTGAGGTTTGGTTTGGTGCGCCTTTGCTAGAGTTAACACATGTTAGTTAAATATATTTCC